GCGCTCGTCTAGTGCCCGTCTGGCGCTCGTCTAGCGCCCGTCTAGCGCTCGTCTAGTCGTCTAGTGCTCGTCTAGCGCCCGTCTAGTGCTCGTCTAGCGCTCGTCTAGTGCTCGTCAAGCGCTCGTCCAACGCTCGTCTGCGCTCGTCTAGTGCTCCGTCTATAGTGCTCCGTATAGCGCGCGCGCTCGTCTAGCGCTCGCCCAACGCTTGTCTAGTGCTCCGTCTAGCGCTCGGCTCGTCCCGTCCAGTGCTCGTCCAGTGGTCCAGTGGTTCTCTCAGTGCTTGTCCAGTGCTCGTCTAGTGCTCGTCCAGTGAACGTCTAGTGCAGCGCTCGTCTGGCGCTCTGTCTAGCGCTCTTCTATGCCCGTTTCCAGAAATTTCCGGGGGCGGCTCGCGCTCTCCCCATTCCGACGCTCGTCCCGGGGCTTGTCTAGCGCTCGTCCAGCGCTCGTCTAGCGCTCTGTCTAGTGCTCGTCTAGTGCTCTGTCTAGTGCTCGTCCAGTGCCCGTTTAGTGCTCCGTCTAGTGCGTTCGTCTAGTGCTCGTCTAGGCGCTCGTCTGGCGCTCGTCTACCGCTCGTCTAGCGCTCGTCTAGTGCTCCATCCAGCGCTCGTCTAGTGCTCCGTCCAGCGCCCGTCTATAGTGCTCTTCTATCCCCGGAGATTGCGCCCTTCTGGCGCTCGTCCAGCGCTCGTCTAGTGCTCGTCTAGTGCTCCTCTAGCGCTCGTCTAGTGCCCGCGCTCGTCTAGTGCTCCGTCGAGTGCTCCGTCCAGTGCTCGTCTACTGCTTTGTCTAGCGCTCGTCTAGTGCTCGTCTAGTGCTCGTCCAGTGCTCGTCTAGCGCTCCGTCTACTGTTCTCTGCCCGGAAATTGTCCAGAAATTTCCGCGGGTGGCTCCTGCTCACCCCAGTGCTTGTCTAGTGCTCCGTCTAGCGCTCGTCCAGTGCTCGTCTAGTGCTCGTCTAGTGCTCCTCTAGTGCTCGTCCAGGGCTCGTCTGGCGCCCGTCCAACGCTCGTTTGTGCTCGTCTAGTTCTCCGTCTAGAGCTCGTCCAGCGCTCGCCTAGTGCTCTGTCTATAGTGCTCGTCTAGCGCTAGTCTAGCGCTCGTGTCGTGCTCGTCCAGCGCTCGTCTAGTGCTCCGTCTAGCGCTTGTCTAGCGCTCGTCTAGTGCTTGTCTAGTGCTCGTCTAACGCTCATCTAGCGCTCGTCCAGCGCTCGTCTAGTGATCGTCTAGTGCTCGTCTAGTTCTCGTCTAGCGCTCTGTCCAGTGCCCGTTTGGCGCTCGTCCAGCGCTCGTCTAGTTCTCCGTCTAGCGCTCGTCTAGTGCTCTGTCCAGCGCCCGTCTAGTGCTCTTCTATCCCCAGAAAATTTCCAGAAATTTCCGGGGGTTGCGCCCTCCCTAGAGCCTTCTGGCGCTCGTCCATTTGCTCGTCTAGCGCTCGTCCAGCGCTTGTCTGGCGCTCCTCGTTCAGCGCTCGTGTAGCGCTCCGCCAAGCGCTTGTCTAGCGCTCGTCTAGTGCTCGTCTAGTGCCCGTCTAGTGCTCCTCTAGTGCTCTGTGTAGTGTCTAGTTCTCGTCTAGTGCTCGCGCAGCGCTCGTCTAGTGGCTAATGCTCGTCTACTGCTCGTCCAGCGCTCGTCTGGTGCTCTTGTATGCCCGCAAATTTTATTTCCAGAAATTTGCGCGGGTGGCTCGTGCTCTCCCGACTGCGGCGCTCGTCCCGTGCTCGTCTTGTGCCTGTCTAGCGCTCGTCCAGCGCTCGTCTAGTGCTCTGTCTAGCGCTCGTCTAGCGCTCTGTCTAGTGCTCGTCAAGCGCTCGGCCAGTGCCCGTCTAGTGCTCTGTCTAGTGCTTGTCTAGCGCTCGTCTAGTGCTTGTCTAGCGCTCGTCCAGTGCTCATCTAGTGCTCGTCTACAGCTCGTCTAGGGCTCGTCTACTGCCCGTCTAGCGCTCGTCCAGCGCGCGTCTAGTTCTCCATCTAGCGCTCGTCTCCCCCCCTGTCTAGTGCTCGTTTATCCCCGCAAATGTTCCAGAAATTTCCGGGGGTGGCTTGCACCCTCCCTAATGCTCTTCTGGCGCGCCCAGCGCTTGTCTAGCTAGTGCTCCCTCCAGCGCTCGTCTAGCGCTCGTCTAGCGCTCCGAGCGCTTTTCTATCCCCAGAAATTTTCCAGAAATTTCCGGGGGTGGCTCGCGCTCTCCCTATTCTGGCGCTCGTCCAGCGCTCGTCTAGTGCTCCGTCTAGCGCTCGTCTAGCGCTTGTCTAGCGCTCCGTCTAGCGCTTGTCTTGCTCGACTAGTGCTCGTCTAGTGCCCGTCTAGTGCTCCTCTAGTGCTCTGTCTAGTGTCTAGTTCTCGTCTAGCGCTCGTCCAGTGCTCGTCTAGTGCTCGCGCGGCGCTTGTCTAGCTCTCGTCCAGTGCTCGTCTAGCGCTCGTGCGGCGCTCGTCTAGCGCTCGTGCAGCGCTCGTCCAGTGCTCGTGCAGTGCTCGTCTAGCGCTCGTCTAGCGCTCGTCTAGTGCTCGTCTAGCGGCGCTTGTCTCGTGCTCGTCTAGCGCTCGTCTAGCGCTCGTCCAGCGCTCGTCTAGTGCTCTGTCTAGTGCTCGTCTAGTGCTCGTCGAGCGCTCGTCCAGCGCTCGTCTAGCGATCGTCTCGCGCTCCTCTAGTTCTCGTCTAGTGCTCCGTCCAGTGCCCGTCTGGCGCTCGTCCAGTGGCCGTTTAGTGCTCGTCTAGCGCTCGTCGAGCGCTCGTCTAGTGGTCGTCTAGTGCTCGTCCAGCGCTCGTCTGGCGCCCTTCTATGCCCGGAAATTTTCCAGAAATTTCCGGGGGTGGGTCGCGCTCTCCCCATTCCGGCGCTCGTCCAGTGCTCGTCTAGCGCTTGTCTAGCGCTCGTCCAGTGCTCATCTCGTGCTTGTCTAGTGTGCTCGTCCGGTGCTCGTTTTGCGCTCTGTCTAGTGTCTAGCACTCGCCGAGCGCTCGTCCAGCTCGTCCAGTGCGTCGTCCAGCGCTCCGTCTGGTGCTTGTCTAGTGCTCGTCTAGCGCCCGTCTAGCGCTCGTCTTGTGCATTGTCTTGTGCGTTGTCTAGTGTCTAGTTCTCGTCGCGCTAGCGCTCGTCTAGCGCTCGTCTAGTGCTCGTCTAGCGCTCGTCCAGCGCTCGTCTAGTGCTCTGCTTAGTGCTTGTCTAGTGCTCGTCTAGCGCTCGTCCAGTGAACGTCTAGTGCTCGTGCAGCGTCAAGCGCTCGTCTGGTGCTCTGTCTAGCGCCCGGACATTTTCCAGAAATTTCCGGGGGTGGCTCGCGCTCTCCCCATTCCGGCGCTCGTCCCGCGCTCGTCTAGTGCTTGTCTAGCGCTCGTTTGTCTAGTGCTCGTCTAGTGCTTGTGTAGTGCTCGTCTAGTGCTCGTCTAGCGCTCGTCTAGTGCTCCATCTAGTGCGCGTCTAGTGCTCCGTCCAGCGCCAGTCTAGTGCTTTTCTAGCCCTGGAAATTTTCCAGAAATTTCCGGGGGTTGCGCCCTCCCTAGAGCCTTCTGGCGCTCGTCCAGTGCTCCGTCGAGTGCTCCGTCTAGCGCTCGTCTAGCGCTCGTCTAGAGCTTTGTCTAGCGCTCGTCTAGCGCTCGTCTAGCGCTCGTCCAGTGCTCGTCTAGCGCTCCGTCTGGTGCTCTGTCTAGTGCTCTTCTCTGCCCGGAAATTGTCCAGAAATTTCCGCGGGTGGCTCGCGCTCACCCCATTCCGGCGCTCATCCCGTGCTCATCTAGCGCTTGTTTCGTGCTCGTCCACTGCTCGTCTGGTGCTCTGTCTAGTGCTCGTCCAGTGCTCTGTCTAGCGCTCGTCTAGCGCTCGTCTAGTGCTCGTCTAGTGTTCGTCTAGCGCTCGCTGCGTCTAGCGCTCGTCTAGTGCTCGTCTAGTGCTCAGTCCAGCGCCCGTCTAGTGCTCTTCTATCCCCGGAAATTTTCTCGAAATTTGCGGGGGTTGCGCTTGTCCAGCGGTCGTCTAGCGCTCGTCCAGTGCTTGTCTAGTGCTCCGTCTAGTGCTCGTCCAGTGCTCGTCTAGTGCTCGTCTAGTGCTCCTCTAGTGCTCGTCTGGCACCCATCCCCGGAAATTTTCTAGAAATTTGCGGGGGTTGTGCCCTCCTTAGAGCCTTCTGGCGGCGCTTGTCTAGTGCTCTGTCTAGTGCTCGTCCAGTGCTCTGTTTAGTGCTTGTCTAGCGCTCGTCTAGTGCTCGTCTAGTGCTCCTCTAGCGCTCGTCTAGCGCCCGTCCAGTGCTCGTCTGTGCTCGTCTAGTGCTCCGTCGAGTGCTCCGTCTAGTGCTCGTCTAGTGCTCGTCTGGAGCTTTGTCTAGCGCTCGTCTAGCGCTCGTCTAGCGCTCGTCCAGTGCTCGTCTAGCGCTCCGTCTAGTGCTCTGTCTAGTGGTCTTCTCTACCCGGAAATTGTCCAGAAATTTCCGCGGGTGGCTCGTGCTCTCCCCATTCCGGCGCTCGTCCCGTGCTCGTCTAGCGCTTGTATAGCGCTCGTCCAGTGCTCGTCTGGTGCTCTGTCTAGTGCTCGTCCAGTGCTCTGTCTAGTGCTCGTCTAGTGCAAAAGCAGAAAAAGCAACCAAAACGGCGGTAAAACAGAAAAAGCAACCGCCTACCTACTTATGCCCCGCATAAACCAACAAAAAGCCGAAAAGCCCGGAAGCCGAGAAGCCAAAAAGCAAAAAAGCCAAGAAGCCAAGCCTCCTATTACATTACAGTGCGTTGCATTCCGGTTGTGCTTTGTGCATTTCAAACATGGTTTACTTTTCATGCATTGCGCACAAGCCAGACATACCTTTGGTTTCATGCGCTGCATACATTGCATGCATCACACACATTGCGCACATCACACATCACCTGCCCTACGTACATTGCTTGTATTGCGTACACTTCATACAATTTGACACTCCATGACAACATTATCATGACATCACGCGAATAGGCACACTACAACGTAGATTGACATAATCGTACTACAAGCATGCATATCCAAGCCACCTCCGCCTCCGCTGCGTTGATCAAAAGCGGCCAGAGCGATCGAGGCACGTCCGTCTGTTGCAAAACCTCTGACAGATCCGTCTCCTGGGACCCGAGCGCCTCCTCAGACTGAGCTCGAGCTTTTGTCCTGGACTTGTGCCGAAGACAGCCTGCCTGAGTCACTGAGTGTGCAACTCGGCCACCTGTTAACCTTGCCTTCCTCCGGGCATGTATACTGTATACTTGTCATACCAAACTACGAGCTTGCTTTCAGCCTGAACAAACCAAGGTGCTGCCGCCAACGCTGCGTAAGAGCATGATGTGTGCCTTTGCCACTACACCCAGCACTGCATGATGTCGCTCTGCAAAGGTTTAATATTGTTTGCGCAAGATACTTGCAAGCAGGACTCTGTTGAATAAATGGCCGCTTTCCTTTCGCTTCTAGCTTGTAGTCAGGAACGATGTATCCTGATGCGCTAAGAAAACATGCCGTTCAGGTTGAGTCCGCGATACTGCTCAAGCATGATCAGAACTGCAACTCACAAGTCTTCTCGAAACCTTGTGTGGCAGCTGCGGCACTGTTTGCCAGTGATGAGTGGCGAGCAAATATGAACGTTGTGGGAGCGACGAAATTGTCCATTGCTGCATTGCAAACAACCAGATTGTTTTATTTGATATCATGAGATCTTGCACCCTGAATGATTCAATCGCAAAGAGATGTGCTGCACAATCCGTCTGCTTCAATTCTGCTATTTCAGCCCAAGCCTGACCGTTGTGCAACTGGTTTGATCCTATGGGTTTTGCCCTGGGCCAAAGTTTCGTCATGTGTGTGTGTGTGTGTTGGGGGGGGGGGGGGGCATGTTTGCAAGCTGTAGAACTTGTGCTGGCATCACTGTTCAGCTTGCACTCTGAGCCCTTGCTGCAAAATCGGACTAAGCAGTGCTGCATACATCAGTACTCAGTGGGGCGGGCCTGCAAGCAAATCAAGTCCTCAGAAACATATAAAATTTCCGTCAGCGCCGATGCTTGCGGCGTATCTTAGCGTCAAGCCGTGTGGTACACAAGAACTTGACGCTTCACCTTCGCCTGCCGCTGCTGTCCTAAGCCAAGGAATGCGTCGGAAACGCTTCAGGCGAAATGCTTCAGGAAGCGACCCATAGAGCTTTGGTCCATCATCGCATCAGCGACCGCATAATACAGGACACTGACGATGCCACATGGCGCCTCACGAGCCACGCCCGAGCCACCGACGGCGACTCGACTTGTCACGTCCACACTCTCCTCCTGATGCTGCTCTCTGGCGGCTGTCAAGTACCTGCTTGGCAGCTTGGCAGCTTGGCAGGTACAGCTTTACACAACGAAGTCACGACTCTCACCTGAATCGCCAACCTGTCTGAGAACTTCTGGAATTGCAAGTGCTTCTTTGAAACAGAGAGAAAGAGAAGAAGAAAAAGAAACAAAAGGGTAGGTGCCAAACAAACCCTGGTTCCCATCAATAGATTCATACTCTGCTCCAATCCAAATGCTGCTCAACTGGATTGTGTCTGCAATCAACATCTGCATTGCATGTGGTAGCCCGCATGCAGCATCTGATCTATGCTGCATAGCCCACCTCACTGCAGACGCCTTGGCAAATGCCACCATCGGTGCAGTTCAGAAAGAACAAAGCGAGAGCGTCGGTGGGAAGGTGCTACCACTCGGTCCAAGTTGGACCCTTCAAGCCGTTCAATTGCATGCATGGAGCCGATAAGTGTAAGTGGACCACAAGGGGATTGGGTTAAAACTCAAGAAAATATGTTCAAAACGTCAGAAACAGAGCCATCCCAAGCACGCTTTGCTGCACTTGCCATTTCAAGCGTTGACCGGCCCCAAAAAACTTGGAACATGAACTGGGGCTAAAAACTTTCTGCAGCACCTGGTTCCCTGAACTGGCTGCAACTAGCTTCAACTGGGTTTAACTGGGTTTAACTGGAACGCCAGCCACGCTTTTTGTGGCCGCAATGAACCAAATGCTAAGGGTTCGGCCGCGTTCTCCTACCAGGCGGCGATCTTAAAATCAACTGCCGGCACAGAGCCTGAAGCACCGCCATTCTCCTCGGGCACCATCTCTGCGTGGACGAAGTTGCGCACCTCCAGCTGCGTGCGCAAGTGCAAGCCTCCTGGGCGCAGAGGACTGGAGCACCGATCACAAAAAAGCATCGTGAGTACTTGCAATTGCCATCGATGCCTCGACAAAGTCCAACACTTTCAATCCCGTTTCGCTCGCTGTCAAGCTGCCGCCAGAATCGCAGCGCAAGTGCTTCAAGCAGCCCAACTCTGAAATCCAGTCTGTCGACGTCTGCAGCCTGAAGGTTTTGCGAAGAACGTGCCCAAACTTGGTCCATGCATGGACCTGCAGCTCAGCCTAGTCGACTGCGCTAGGCTCTCTGCTTTGAAAGTGCTGACTGAATGCGACCAAGCCCTTTCAGATCCTGACAGCGCGAAGCGAACAATGGAACTTGCAGCTGCAGCATGCTTGCGACACTTGAACTTGCAGCCTGCACTAAATTGGACGCGGATGGATTTATGCGTTCAGGAACAATTGAAGCTCAAACTTGAGCCGGCTGAAAGCAAGCAATTGGATCAATTGTTGTTTGGGCTGTGTTTCTTCGCCGTTGCCCAAGGTTCATGGCGAAACACGGGGCAACATCACATATTGAAACAAGAAGGCTTCAAGCATCCAATGTGAGCACTGTGTCTGCACAAATGGTGCACAACATCCGACTAGTTGGATGGAATGTTGCCAAAGTCATTGTTTGCGCATCTTCTCCAGAAGTATCCACGACAATGTCTGCTTTCATCTGTGCACACGCTGCCCCACTGTCAACATGCTTGGTCCTGGTCCTGCCATGGCACTACCTAATCCTGTGTTCTTTCAAAGTGCGCCCTTTCCCAGCAGTCTCTCTCTCTCTCTCTTTCTTGTCAAACTACATGCTTCACTTTGCACTTGTGTTGCATGTATGTTCACTACCGCAGGCCTTGAGCTTACTACTCCGCATGAGTCAAAAGGTTGGCAGCTGCAGACTACATCGGTTGACTGTTTGTTTGAACAATACAACATTTGCACTTGTAAGCAAAGTAACCACTGATTTTAACGTGGTAGCGGAGCTGAGATCCTAAACATAGGGGAGCTCCAGTAAGCAGTAAGTACTACAACAACAGCAACAGCAGTCACATGCCAAACTACTACGACATGTCAGGAGAAGCAGCATCAGCCTCAGCACAACAAACTACAGGAGCAGAGAACGGGCCAACAGCAGACACAGTGGAGCCACGACTACGGGAGCAGGAACAGAACAAGACAACGACGTTCAAAGGCTACACAAATACAAACTGCCACCACCCTTCTTCACTGGTGACTACTCCCAGTATGAAGAATGGCTGTTCAAGCTACAAGCATACCTCGGCCTCATAGACCGAGACTTCGACCTGGTGCTACAACTAGCACAAGTGGCTACACGACAGATTGAGGACACAGACATCAGAACACACATACTCGACCCTACACAAGCAAGCAAAGCAGTAGACCTCTCCAGAGATCTACACTACATCCTCATCAACATCTGTCAGGGAGCAGCAGCTACAGTAGTAAGGCAAAACCGCTACAACGCAAACGGATGTGAAACACTACGACTACTACACAACAGGTTCAGCCTACCAGTAGGAACAAGGAGCGTTGGTTACCTTACCAAACTACTGGAACCTACATTCAACGAAGCGCAGTTTGAAGAACAATTTCTACAATGGGAATACGACATCAACCGCTACGAGAAAGACAATGGAACAGCACTACCAGATGGAATCAAAATAGCAATACTACTCAACAAAACCAAAGGAGCACTGCAGCAACACCTCCAACTGCGAGCTGGACAGATCACGAGAGATCAGAGCACTCATCCTGGACTACTACAAGACGATTTCAGCCTTCACTAGATCTACTTCAGCAGTAGGAACAAACTACAATGGAGGAGCTGCACCAATGGATGTTGACAACATATGGAGGAAAGGAAGAAACTACAAAGGCAAAGGAAAAGGAAAAGGCAGCTACAAAGGAAGCAAGAGCAAAGGCAAGTACAGGAGTAAAGGACACTACAAAGGATTCGACAAAGGCAGCAAAGGAAACTACAACAAAGGAGGATACAACAAGAGCAAAGGAAAAGGCTACTCAGGATCCAAAGGATATGGATCAAGCAAAGGCTACAAAGGCCAAGGAAACTACAGCAAATCGAAAGGAAAAGGAAACAACAACTACACAACATGCCATCGATGTGGCAAGCCCGGCCACTGGGCACAAGACTGCAGAGTGCCAGTATGGCACATAGGAGAAGGAGAAGAACTACATCCACTAGAACAAGAACAAGCAGATCATGACAACAATGAAGAACTACCTCAGGATGTGAACGACACTTGGGACTGGTACTACGAAGGAGAAGAAGGACAACACGAGGTGAACTACATGGAGGAGAACTGGAACGACTACGACTATGACAACAGCTGGGATTGGAATGACAACAGCTATGAGGACACAGGGAGGCATCAACGAGTCACACCTCACCATTGGACACATCAGACAAGCAAAATCACGACTACACAAGCACCAATCCAAATCACTACTTGGCAAGAAACCAACACACACAACATCATGGAACGACCACAACAAGAGCTTTCAACAATTCCTACAAGAAGACACCACAAAGCTACACTTCGACATAGCAGCAGCAAGACAACAACAAAGGAACAAGAAGATTGAGGACACTATCACACACTACATCATGTACTCCAACTTCAAGTCATACCACCACCTGTTGATCGACTCAGGAGCATCTACACATGTTTGCCCAAAGGACTACGCACCGGATCTTCCACAACGACCTTGTGGAGAATCAGTTCCACAACTCTACACGGTTACAAACAAGAAGATTCCTGTCTACGGCATCAAGTATGTTCCCTACAAGCAGGACAACTTCAGGATCATGATACCCTACTACGTTTGTGACGTGAAGTATCCAATCCTCAGTGCATCAAGACTACTTGATAGGGGATATGGACTTGACTTCACTCCACGACACTGCACCATCACGCATGGACAACAACAAGCACTCCTCATAAGACACTCAGGACTTTTCTACCTACGAGCAGAGAAGATCGACATCCCTACAGGATTCGACATCTACCCAATGACTACAGACAATGGAAAATCCATTGCTGTGATTCAACCTACAGAGAAAACAGTACAACAACAAGAACAAATTGCACCACTCACACACACAGACCAAGGACTACGACAGATCCTTGGTGGAAACACTGACTAACGAAACTTGATGGTGACTACGCCATCAGAGTACACAAACGACCACGCAAAGCACTGTTCACACCACACAACAGCGGCTGCCCAATACCAGAAGGAGAACTAGATGATTGGCAACTAACCATCATCAACAGACAAGGGCAAGAGCAAGAACAACTACAAGAGGACCCAACACAACTTTCCAAGCAAGAACTACAACGAAGACTAGAAGGTTACAACTGGACTGGAGAAACCAGGTTCAGAAGAAAGATAACACCTACACGCAGAGCGACATCAAAGACCACACCAACAAGGCAAACCTCACAACCACAACGGTTAATGGACACACCATCAACCAGATCAAAGATCCAACTACGAGCACCACAAAAGATATGGAGACCTAAAGCAGCACCCTCTACAGATCTTGACACCACACAACCAAAGGAGACAATCCACAGACCACTCACAGCACAGGAGGACAACCAAGACTACTGGGAAAGACAAGGTGAACACTGGATACGACACCACACAACGCTTAGAACAACTCTCTTCACTCCAACAGATGGACCAGGACATCCACCATCAACACACTTGAACCTCACAGAACTACAATCACTCACAACAACTTTGGAGAAGTTTCACAACGCAAAAATGACTGGACAGTCATGGGCAACGCAGCACTACCACTTCAATGGAAAGGAACAGCAAGGTTCACCGTGAAGAAAGACTACGAGTACATCCAGGAGAACCACGATGAAGAACAACAACACGAGCATCATGAAGCACACAGAGCAAGAGGACTACGACAACCACAGCAGCCCACTCCACAACAAATAGCAGAACACAACCTTACACATCTACCATGCAGAAACTGGTGTCCAATTTGCGTTCAAGGCAAAGGACGCCAAGACAACTACAAGAAACAACAATCACGACAACCTGTCGTTCAAGTAGACTTTGCCTACATCAAGTCACAACAAGACCCAAAGACCACACCAGTACTGACAGCAGTTGATGTTACTACACAACTGTGTATGGCAGTATTGGTTCCAGACAAATCATCAATGATGGACTACATGATCAACAACCTACAAGCATTCATCTTTGAGTGCGGAAGAACACAAGGCATACTACAAAGCGACAACGAAGACACACTCAACGCACTTCTAAAAGCTACAGCAGCAAAAGTCGGCACAATGAGTGTACGACATTCACCTTCCTACAGCAGCAACAGTCAAGGAAGCGTTGAGCGACTACATAGAACACTTCTCGGACAAATCCGCGTCGTCAAAGCTCAGGTTGAAAGCAACTACAGCATGACGATGTCCACAAAGCACTGTCTACTACCTTGGATAGTACGACATGCAGCATGGACGGTAAATCGCTACGTCATTCACTCAGACGGCTACACAAGCTTTGAACGCCGCTGGGGAAGAAACTACGAGCGAGCAATCTGCGAATTTGGCGAGACACTACTTTACCTTCCACCACAACACAAGAAACTTCCGAAAGCAGACCTACGGATGCAGAAATGCATCTGGCTCGGAAAAGTTTCCGAAACCGGAGAAAACTACGTCGCAACGGAATCAGGCGCACAAAAGGTACGAACAGTACGGAGACCACAACCGGACTTCAAATACGACCTCGCACTGTTGAACAAAGTTTCCGGCACACCATGGACATCACGACGGAACACCTACAACCCATCGTTCGCAACACTGTTGGATACGCAACTACAACCGTTAGAGAAAAGAAGGTCCACGCAAGATTTCGGACAACAAACGAACGCTACGGACTACGGACGACATCGTTGCGGAACCCGCAACAAAGCAACAAAGCTTCACGACCACTACCGGATAGTCCTATGGCTACTTCGCCAACCGGACGACAACATCCACCACTACCAGCACCACCTCGACGAACACTACGACGTTTAACTCCGGAAGAAGTAATGCAACCAACTAAAGCACAGAAGACCTCAAAGGACACTACAATCAGATCAACGGAGCAAGCAACCAAAGAACCACCACCACTACGACAGAAAATCAACGCAGTGACACTTCCCAACGGAAAATCCATCACCCCCTACACAAACGACGACACCTCAGAAGACCAACCCATAATCTTCGACAACGAAGGTTACGACGAAACACAACTACTGGAAGGAATGAAACACGAGTCAAACCAAATGAAGCTACATGACGTCTACGACGAAGTAGATGCGTCTACCGTCAACGACAACGTCATCAGAGAAGCGATACCTACAAGATGGGTACACAGAAAGAAAGGACCAGGAGTACGAAGCCGAATCGTCGCAAAAGGCTACACAGAGAAGATCGAGGACGAAGACTCCGTCTACGCCTCTACACCAATGTTCACGACACTCCGGACACTTCTCGCACTACAAATGTCACGACCAAACTGGATCGCGCGACTAGGTGACGTCTCTACAGCATTTCTACACGCACCCATCGCAAAAGACCACGACGGTAAACAACGTGACGTCTACCTTTGGCCACCTAAAGAACTTTGTCCACAACAGGACAAAATCTGGCGACTAAAGAAAGCCATGTGTGGACTACGCAGTTCACCAAAAGCATGGCAGGACTACCTGGCTGAAGTGTTACAAAAGCTCAGCTTTGTAAGACTAAAGTCAGAACCTAACGTCTACACCAATGCGACTCGCGACTGCTACATCATGGTCTACGTGGATGATCTCTTGGTACTTGGTGACAAGACTACTGTCGACTCCACCTTCGAGGCCATTCAGAAGCAGGTCCTACTCAAGCACATCGGCTACCTCGAACCTGGCAAACCACAACAATTTCTTGGAAGAAACATCGACCACTTTGGCAACTACTGCAATCTTGGACTAAAGGACTCCTACATCGACAACATGATCGAGGAGTCTGGAATGAACAACTGCAACTCAGTGAACACTCCAGGAATTGCACACTACAAACCAACAATAGAAGATGAAGCACTACTTGACCACGAACAACACAAAAGGTACAGAAGGATTGTTGGCAAACTTCAATGGTTAGCATACACACGACCAGACATTGCATACTCCACAAAAGAACTAGCACGAGACCTCACAGCACCTACAGAACTTTCACAAAAGAGAGTCAAACATCTACTACGCTACTTGCACGGCACCAAGCACTACAAATTCACCATAGAACCAACAACAACACTCAGAGCAAACACCAACAACATCCTGGATCTCGACGTTCATGTCGATGCCGACTGGGCAGGATGCCCTACTACCAGGAAATCAACTTCAGGTTTCAACATCATCTTTTTAGGAACAACAGTTGCATTTGGCAGCAGAACACAAGCTACAATAGCACTCAGCTCAGCAGAGTCTGAACTCTACGCCATTTGCACAGGAGTTAATGAGGGACTACACCTCAGAAACTTCCTACTTGAAACCAACATTTGCAGCAAGCTAAACCTACGCATCCACACAGACTCCACAGCAGGCAAGAGCATTGCTACACGACAAGGCACTAGCAAACGAGCAAAACACATCGACCTCAAATTCCTCTACACACAAGACCTCATCAAGCACGACATCATCAGAATCCTTAAGATCAACACACTCCACAACAGCGCAGATTTGTTTACCAAATACATCAGCAAAGAAACACTACACAGGCTCATCCAGAGCATTGGAATACGCATCTAGCACTACGAACGACCAGCACAGCAGTTTCACAACAACAACAACAACAACAACAACAACAACAACAACAACAACAACAACAACAACAACAACAACAACGACTTTGGACATTTCATGTATGTAAGTAGCTACATGTAACACGACACTTTTGGTATGTAAGTAACAGTAACTACATGTACTTTCACTTGCACTTTTGGCGGCTTGAGTCAACACTACAGTTGTTTGTTTTACATGTCTGCATGCGCCGCCTGCCTGGTAGCAACTACTTAGGCTCATTTGTTTTGCCCCGTTTCACTACATTTTGCATTCCACTGCAGCCATGGCCGCTCCATCTACTGCAGATGCTACGATGGGAGACGCCACTACGGCCGACAGGGCAACCACACCTGAGGTGGCGGTCACTACGGACTCCAGTGAGCACGGAACTCCACCACCTCAAACCTACAACGACTCCAACTACCACTTCAACCATTCTACACCCGGCAACACCGTCTACTACAACCCGACCACAGTGATGGACCAACTACACATCACTGAGCACCAGACAACCACTACACCACCACTGCCCGACAACATTCCCTACACTCAATTTTTCACTGCATTTACACTTGAAGAATACCAACTACTTTCACAACAACAAGCTACTCCACTGGCACAACTGGACTACACGCGACCCATTCACTGCATCCCTGGAGATCTTCGGATGCCCCACTACAACTCCACACTGCTCAGCGTTTCACTACCTGAAGCAGCCAACGTCCACTACTACCACACGACTTCACTCCACACTACAACTGGCGACAACACCAACTACGTCATCATCCAACTCCAGATTGAACAACCACTACTCCTGAGGTACCTCACTTCAGGACAATTTCTGCACCTCACAAGAGACTACATCTCCTACATGATGTCGGTACAACATAACTACTACCTCCCGACTACAACACTTCCACAGACCATCTACAAGGTGAACTACAACATGACCACCTTCACTGACAACTACCTCAGGAACAACTACGTTTGGAACTACCACATGCCACTACTGCTACCTGAACTACTCCACTACCTTTACAACCGAGACCAACTACACGACTTCCAGCACAAAGCAATTACTACTATCCTCTGCAAAAGCATCCAATACTACGGATTCACACTACTCACCATGACAAACCTCACACAACACCACAAAGCACTACTACACCGCTTTCTACGGGAGTACGACCAACACATGTCGTGCCCCGAGATAGATGATGAGCGACTACGGGGAGCTCCAAACTACATGACAACCTTTTTCACCACCAACTACTATGCGACCTTGGACAGTCGACTACAGATGGTCCAAGCCTACCGCACCCAGAAATGGGGACTACATTTTTGAGCTCCTGCTCTACTACAACGAGCGCCTGCCTCACTACTTCCGTCCAGCGCCCTACATCGAGCTGGAACCAGAACAGCGTGAACTACTGAGCGCAGGTCACTACTTTTGTCAATACAGTAGAATTGATGAACAACCATGGTTTTCATCACTACTGTCAATCCATGTTTTGCACTTCAGTTGAAAAGGTACTACAAAGACCTTTTAACTGAGGGGCGTGTCAAACTACATGCTTCACTTTGCACTTGTGTTGCATGTATGTTCACTACCGCAGGCCTTGAGCTTACTACTCCGCATGAGTCAAAAGGTTGGCAGCTGCAGACTACATCGGTTGACTGTTTGTTTGAACAATACAACATTTGCACTTGTAAGCAAAGTAACCACTGATTTTAACGTTTCTGTCTCTAACACAAAGGAGGTGTTGTGCTCAAAATATCCTGACAGCGCGCCTGAAATGTGAAGGAGCAATTGTGCAAAGCCTGGCCAACTACAATCAGAACTTGTCTGCTTCACTGCTGCGTGCGCCGAAAAGTGCAACACGTGTGACAAGAAAGGCCTCTGCCAACCACGGCCCTGTGTCCTGACCGACTGGCAGAAAGATACTCGACAAGCGCTTAAAATCAGATTTGGGACCTGCGGAGCGTGTGCCCGCTTCAGAATCAAGTCCAGCAAATACCTGGAAAACTTGCAATCTGCTTTCGCAAACCTTTGAACATCTCCATCACAACTTCTACAACTCGCACCTGTTGTGCTGCAAAGTGAAGGGCTCGAAATAGAAGTCCAGCAGTTGACGCAGTTGCGTTGCAGCACCTCATGTCAAGGCGGAGTGTGCCTGACACTGTGGCTTGACAATACTATTGGCGTGCAACTCGACAACACGGCAACGAGCGTCCGCAGAGTATTTGTGTGTGGTTCATTGGGGAACCAGCGACTTGAACCTGCGCGCTTTTCCATAACCTGCGTTACAAGCTCAGCTATACTGGACACTGGCACGCAAGGTATTGGAGCCTGGGTCTCATTGGCCGGCACTGCTTGGGCCTCGCCTGAAGCCAATTGCTTATGCATGCGGGGCAGCACTTTGAGGCTCGGACGTTCTGGCACACGTTCAGGACTCTGAGGAAACTTGCGCACACTCAGCCGTCGATCATCCACCAGAAGAGCCTGCTCTCGGAGATGTGCATCCAGTCAAAACTACATCAATGATGTGCGAACAAGGCATGGCGACATGATGCGACATGTCTTGCGTACCGTATTCGAAGCACCAAAACGCTGAATCGGACTAGCTTCCAGGCACTTCGGCTAGCTGTGCCAATTGGCTAACAACCTGACAGGCAGACTTGCCAACTAGCAAACCAAGAGGAAAGTAGCCGAGTGGCTAAATGCCAGTGAACTAGCTAATTAGCTAGATGATGATCTAGCTCAGCATTGAAGCTGAATCGGCAGCTCACCACAAAGGAAGATAAGCAGCCATTCTGAGAATGGAACTTGGCTAATCAAGAAGCAGTAGCTCATTAGCCAACGAGCTCGCTAGCTGCGCAGAAGGCTGTTCTTGGCTGGTCAGCTTGGTCGGTTGTTTGCCGGCCGATCCAACCCAGTTGGTTGATTAATCATGAAGCTCTCCACACCCGCTCCGAGAGCGGACCCAGACGGCTCGGAACCCAAGGTGTCCCGACCAACGTGACCAAGGTGGCTTGCGCCGTTGCCCGTGACCAAGGTGGCTTGCGCCGTTGCCTCCGAATCTATGATAGAGCACTCGCACATGGTGTTGCGACACGCTGAGTTGTTGGCCATGCATGACCAAAGGCGCAAGTTTGTCTTGCACACTTCTGGGAGCAAGCTGATTGATAGCCATTGTGACAAGAGCCATCGCCAATCTTACGAGAAGCGCTTCTTGCAAAGAAAGCTGCACCAACTTGCCAGTGGACGCAGCCAAGGTAGAGTGGCACGCACAGGTCATACGCAAAGCCCGAAAAGCATGGAGCGTCAACGGGGAAGTGCCTAAAGGCGAGATGAAGAGGGTGATCTCGGGTTCTGCCGCTTGGAAAACAGCCATTGGGCAACGCCTCGCTCTGTGAGACTCCGCTCTGTAAGCGGCTAAGGTAACGCAAGGGCTTGCCGAGCGCCGAACAGTGCTCCCTGGATAGCTGGAAATGTTACACCTCCAAGGCGCGGCGAAACGGTAGCCACGCTTCCTGCTAACGCGTATCCAGATTAGACGTTATGAGTTGCGAGTTCATATGTTCAAGGCAGCAGCAGAAACATAAGCGCTGAAGAACTCAACAGGGAAAGGGAAAGAAACAACGCGAACCAGAAACCCTTATTAACCCCAGTCCGGTAGGCGAGCGCAAACCCTGGTTTTGATCTAATGGGCATCTTGAGCCAGATGGGCATTGCCATTCAGCATGTTCTTGCTATCAACGGGGCCTCCAACATCACACACATGCACACCATTCTGAGGTCGAGGACCAGGAGCTCCAGCTCTTCAACACCTCCGGCCCGTGCATCCCTGAGCAGCCGGCCGCTGATCTTGGCGCCGGCCAACTGCGCCTACCCGACAACCCGGGTGGACAGGACAGCACAGGCATCTGGATCCTCCAGCACCGATACGAGGGCGCCGCACGACCCACGCGTCGCGCGACGCACCCGGCACCCTCGGACGGACTCGTGTTGGCATCATCCGCCAAGGACAGAATCCTCTTCCGACCCTCCTCGAGGCCACGGGAGGGCCAAGCACTACAACCTGAATGAGTCGCCACCTCCAGAAAGGTCGGCACAAGCCGTTTACTCAGGTCGTGCGGCCTTCAACCCGGACAGGGTGTACGAGGCTGAGCAGGTCAGCATCAAGCGGCCCGCACCTGCCGGGCGCGACTCATCCACAGCACCCGCAACAAACACCGCTCGGATTGTCTTTCCCAAGCGGGAAAGCCAGGTCAAGGCGCCCCCACAAAGCGTACTCGACCAGGCAGCTGCGGATCGCGCTGCGTCGAAGGCCATCCCCCCACCACCGCTGAGAGCACCACCAGCACCCCCAGCACCAGTGCCAAGGGCTGCAGCTCAACGCGCAGCGTCGGCTCCAAAATCGATCAGTGGGGTCAGGCGGCCTGAGACACCGCCCAAAGCATTCAAGCGGGCGCCACCCTCACCTGCGCTGCAGGTGAGGTACAAGTCCCCACCGGCTCCCAAGTTGCCGGTGAAGCAGCCGCCCACTGCAGCTGCCAAGGGCCCCGTCCTCCCGGGACGGCATTCAGTGCGCCTCAGCAGGAGGCACGAGACCCGCTGGTCATCGCCCTCGACTGGCATAATACGCTTGACATTGGCGTCGAGCCCGACGGTGCGCCCAAGGATTGGCTTTTGCGTACAGTATCCAAACTGTATAGAAGTCATTATCCGATCCAGTTTCGCATCACCAGTTATTGCCAGGCCCGGGACACCCGGGAGAGCCCTCCGACTTGCCACCCAGTTTTCCAAGGTGTGCAACAACGCCATTGACGGCTGGGCACACTCCCGTCCGGAGACGTGGTCTTGACCTGGAAACGGGTCGGACCATCTGGCAAGGCTGCAGCTTTAGCGCAGCTCGGGGCGCGCGCCATCGTGGACGACAACAACTCCATCCTCAAGGAGCGTCGCACTGCAGGAGCCCTCGGCGTAGGTGTCGATCGGCGAGACGCCAACAGGGCGCTCTACGACGCGCTGAACGAGCTCCACGAATACCTCGCTCAGCACCGACGCCTTCTCCGCCCTGCCAGGGTACTCGAGCAAAACGAGTATCTCGAGGAGGTTGGCCGCCGCCCGCAATCTGCAAGGGGCGGCCGAGGACTTTTTCGTTGACCTGGCACTGCCGGAGGCTGCAGCTCAAGCGCAGCAAGGGCACCGGTTTCCAACACCGGTTGTAACATAAGTTTTCCCAAGGCCGCAGCTTAAAGCGCGGTGTGTCAGCAGACGTGAGCCTGACCTCGTGTGAAAGGTGCATCCGACATGGCATCAGGGATTTCCCCACCTTCGGATGATAGGTCAAGGTCAGCCCCTGCGGGAGAATCTAATGAGGAAGACCTCTGAACTAGGTGATATTTCGGTACCCGCAATGTCCGTAGTCCCTGTAAGTTGCAGGGCGTCCTCATCAAGAGATAATCGTGGTCGTGATCGCAACACGACTCCTCCCCGTAGGACTCCCATTGTAGAGGAACCTGATTCAGACTCTACAGCAACTCCCCTTGTGTATAGCCCTCAAGTGCCAGCACCCGACCCATCTAATAACATGAGTGCTGCCGCGTTTGTGGCCGGATCGGCAGTTCAACGTGCGCATCAGGCTTCGCTCATTGCTGATCAGGCTGCCAATGTTGCCCTTCACGAGCATCGAGCCGCGGACCAGGCCAGACAAAGGCTAGGGGAGGTTGCCGCTGTTGCGCAACAAAGGGAGCAGACCTTTAGACAACAGGCAACTGAACTGACATACCAAGCCCAGCAAGCAGTCGAACGATCCCGTGCTCAGACAGCGTTAGCTGAACAAGCTGCACAGCATTCTCAACAGGAAGCTCAAGGCCATGTTCAACAGGTGAGGCAGGAAGCCGAAGGCCATGTCCATCTGTTAAGACAGGAAGCCGTAAGCCATGTTGAGCGTGCTAGGCATGAGGCACAACAAACAAGGTCGGCCGCTGAAGCCGAAGTGTCAAGGTTGAGACAGGAGGCTATTCAAGAAATTTCCTCACGGGAACAGAAGATCCTCCAGCAAAGCAAAGTGATAGATACATTAGGGAGTGAAAAACTTTTGTTGTTGCAACGCCTTGCTGACCTAGAAAGGGCTGTCGCATCCATGGCACAAAATGTTCCGGTTCCTCCGGATGAAAGTCATGAAAGTCAAAATCCTACGGATCCCGGGTCATCGGGGCTAAGTGACGTTGGACGTGACCTTCAGGTTGGATCACAGGCTCCCCAAGTTCAAGGGCCGAGTGACGCCACACGTGAGCAGTGTCCCCCCACAGCCCAGATGCCAAGCGTGTGCAAATCCAGGATGGTGATCCACGTGCACAACCACAAGGACCACCGGACGTCACTCGGACTCAGGATGTAAGGGGACCTGTAGACGTACAGGCACAGATGTCCTCTTTAACTGAGCTGGTTCATCAACTTTCAACCTTAGTTGAGGCCCAGGTAGGGGTATCAGGGGCCTTCGCCCCCGATCGCATCAGCTCAGGCACCCCCGCCTTCCGTAGCTGCCCAGCACACAACTGCTATCCCCACGCTTAGGCTAACAAGTGCAAGTACAAGTCAAGTGGCTCAATTCCCATCCTCCCCACTTGCACCTTCAAAGGCAAGCTCCGACACATCCTCAGAATCCGGTGACGAGCTCATGCCGAGTCTGTGGTGGCCCGCATCATGATGCCGCCTGCCCCTCCCTTTCCATGAATGGGGGGCAGGGACAAGGTACTCAAGCTGCAGATGCAAGTGGTGGGGATGCTGCTACAAGCGCATCAGATCCGGCCTCACATGAGGAAACCGTGGTTCGCATAAAGGACCTTAAGGATTTAGTGCTTCCGCTTCCGCCAGAGAACGCCGGCCAGGCGCGTGGATATGTGAATCAAGTCCTCATGGCCATTGGACGTCTACAAAAAACGACCGGTGACGAGCTGGGCTCAGGATTGCCTGACCTCATCCGAGGAACAACTCAGGGCAGATGCACGTTTCCCACGCACAACCCGCGAGATAGCCGCCAAGCTGTTGAAGACCTGTCGCAAAGGCAAGTTTGGGTTGTTGTTCCAAAACATGGTGGAGCACGAACGGAACACCGCAGGTACAATGCCCAATGGGCGCGTGATGTTGCGTTCGATCTTCAAGCACTTTCAACTGGAGCGTGATCGGATTGGCATCCTTGGAGAACGCAATCTTCTAGGTTTGAAACTTGCCGGCCAATCAGTAGCGGACATAGAGGCGCTCCGTGAGAAGTACAACTATATTCTCCGTGCAATACCTCTTGATGAGCTCCCCAAGGAAAGAACGCTTTTCAATCATCTCATTGACGAGTTGAGAAGTGCCAAGTAATGAAGCATCGCGTTGAGAAGGCCCGTGAGTCCGCCCATGATAGTCACCGCCGCAACTGTGCATGGCTTTGGGCAAAGGCTGACCTGGCCATCGAGCTTGCCCAGCAAAAACGCAACCGTGATGAG